TATATATATATTTCAAATTCATCACCTTTCACTGTTATAACTCTTGATCTATGCTAATGTTTCAGGCCTACAAACCTTTGAAGGGACTGAAACGTCTGCCAAAGAGCCAGAAGAACCAGAAGTGAAGCCTGAAACACAGGAGGAGCAAAAAAGTAAAGAGAACAAATATTTATTTTGCAGTTGTTATTGTGTTGCTGTATCTATGGAGCCCAGATAAGCAAGCGTGTATTTTCTAAAAAAGAAAAAAAAAGTCATTCAGTCATTTTTGGCTGAATTGTGAACTTTCTTTTTCCTTCCTCTTTTTCTTAAGAGCAGTTAAAGAGAATAAAAGGAAGTTGCAGACGTTGCTTCTATGGAAGCGAAGATGTAACAATATCAAGCTACCTGTAAAACATCAAGCCTAAACTCAGTGGCAGTGAGAATAACCAAAATTGTTTCTTTTTGTTTACAAGAAGAAATGATTCAACAGCATCAAATAAACCATGGAAGCAAGCTAAATCAAGCCTGCAGTACTGAAATAAGCCACTTGATGGAAATGGAGGCACATTCAGATTTTCTTTAATGCAGCTGGAGCTTATTGTCTCCTGTGGGGGGGGGGGGGTCACTGTGAAGTAAGAGCTGCTCACAGCTAATCAATAATAAAAGAGAGCTTTTAAAGTCAGGGGAAAAGGACACAAACATTAAAAAAAATTATCCTAGGTTTTCTTGTTTTGACAGTTTGATTTGCCCATAAATGTGAAACATGTTCCTGTTTTCCCTCCAAGGTCTTCCTGTGTTAAAAGGTAAGCAGAGCAGTCATGTCTGGACTCGCTGCTCTGCGTTTAAGCAGAGAAGGCTGATGATAGCTTTGAAAAAAGATTGTGTCCCTTTATAAAGTGCGCTTCCTGTCGGGAGGGAGAGAAACAGTAAAACAGTGAGTTCTTTCGCTGTATCTGATGCTATGTCGCTGAGCTACTGGCTGGAAGGAAACAGATGAATGTGCCATTCTAAACAGCTCATTAATATTTGTTACACTATACTATGAAGACACAACTTAAAAAGCAAATTCACCCAGATGCACACTTAAAAGGTACCAACTTGAAATAAATGTTGGCTCTAAAACGTGTCAAAAGTGGCAACTTCTTAATGTGTCTGTATATATTCAGAGAAGTGTTTCTTCCTCATACAGTAAGTTGTTACTTAACTGTTGATGGCATTTTTGTTGCCACATCTAGAAACCAGAAAATATGCATAAAGAAGTTACAGGTAAAAAAAATGACATCCTTGTTTAAGTTTGAGAAAAAGAAATGTTAACACGATAATATTTTTGCAAAAAAGAGAAAAATTAATTGGACACAAAGAATCAAAACGTGTAACACTAAAGCTCACATAGCTGGAGATCGTGAACGATAGAAATCGTTCGAACGGCTCTCTAAAATGAACGATGGGAGTCACGTCCCAAGAAGTTGGGAACTTTTCCTTTTCTCCTCGTGTTTCTCGTAAATGCAGGCACACACATGCTGTTCCTTTACTTTTCCAGTGAGCTGAAGAACAAGCAAGGAAGAGGCGTGCAGCAGTTGTGATTGGTTATTATGTGCTCAGCATGATGTCACTACCTGGGCATGGGCAGTATAGGCAAATGCTAAGGGAGCCGTCCATCTAGGGGGCACCATAAATGGGGGGCAAAAATATATTTTATAACTTTTTATCAGATTATAGTTGATTCAGCCTGTAGAGTAATCACTGATTACCTTTTTTTGCCAGTTTACTAAACTGGAATAACAAGAAGACGGTGAGGTTAAGCCCACCTGCTTAAAGGGGTGTCATCATGTCCAACATTTCTCTAAAAGTTGGACGGATGCATGAGATGACATTTTAGTCATCTCAAACTTACAGTATGCCTCAAACAGCATACCTCCCTCCTCTCATCGTCTCTGCTTTCCCTCCACCTGAAACCGGGTCAGATAATGAAGGACCTCCCTACTTTCCCACAGCTTTCTAACAGCTGCGTGGTTGTGCCTCATTAGGGACCGGGTCAGTAATCTGCTGCTTAACAACATGGTGGCCCCTCAAAATACCACCGCCCTAAAGAGTTCCCATCTGAGCACAAATGACTTCAGGCTGTATGTGTCCAAAACATGCATAGCAGCTAATTATGGAGTATTTCTTTGATTCAAACAGCTACCCTGTAACATCAATGGGGTTTTAAATGATGAAAGGTTGCAAAAATCTTGCCAAACCAAATTTGCCGGAACAGCTCCTGTTGTGAAGGCGAAGCATACAGTAAGTTTGGGGTTTTTGAATTCCAAGATGACATGGCTTTCTTTATTTTCATCACTCAAAATAAAATGAAAGACATTTTAAGTGAAGTTCTTAAATCACTGAGTTAGTTTTAAGATATTTTTTTTGTTTGTTTGTTTCCTACAGCTGAGGTGGGTGAACCTGCTGTTGATTCCAGCTCTGCGTCTGCAGCTGCAGCTCCGGACAGCTCAGAGGACAAACCCAAAGGGGACGGTAAAGAGGAAAGCTCCCCTGCAGATGTGAAGCCCAGCTCAGAAGAGAAAACCGACGATGAAGGTGCCGCCTCCAACAAGACCTCAGTGGAGTCTCTGAAGGAGACAAATGAGACAAACGAGAACAACAGTAACAACACTGGCTCCAGTCAGAAGACAGGTTGGTGTTTGAGTCAGGGTTCATGTCTTCACCCAGGCTTTAGAGCAGTGGTTCCCAAACCTTTTTTCTTCTGACCTACAAAATATCCATGGCCAAAACTTGTGACCCCAAATATTACTGGTCTGAGGACACAAACTTTGTTAACAACCCTAAAAACACAGGCTTTTTGACAATCTAAACAGCTTGTACACAAATATAAATACTTGTTTATACTTTTTTGTGTTTTTGTAATAATCATAGGGAAAATATTACATCAGCAATTATTTTATTACCCTTTAAATTGATTTCTGGAGATTATCCAAGGTGCTTCATGACCCATAATTGGGTCCCAAGNCTCTCTCTCTCTCTCTCTCTCTCTCTCTCTCTCTTTCTACACATACACACAGAAACACACCCTCTCTTCCTCTGCTGTTTTGGGGTCTGTGACGTTCTGGAAGCCAGACGTGGGTCGTTCTTTGGGATTAGAGCAGACTTGCAGTCCCTCATCACTGCGAGCGGGTTCTGAATGGACCCTGGACCAGACAGCAGGAGGTGGGGGCCCTGTAGCAGTGGCCCACGTGGAGCCTGCCAGCGGCTGGGTGGCAGTTAACACTAATCCTCCTGCCGATTACCTTTGGCACGGGCAAATAAATAGTAATACCTGACCCTACTCAAAACAACCCTACCCATACAAGAAAACACTGACGCTCTGTTACAAAACATTAATCTGAAGTTTTCAGAATTAATAAATTAATAAATTAAACGTCCGATTTATTTATTGCCCACCACCTGCCATGCCGAAGATTTAAACTAATATATTCTGAGAAGTGATATAGTAAAACATTTTGATCAAACATGCTAAATGATGAATCTGTAATCAGTGATCGTGCTCAGAGTATGTGTTATGGATGACTCTCACCTAATACCACACCAAAGGTTAGTTCAAAATCTTTAAAACAGACTGAGTTAAATCTATTTTTTGTGTGGACCAATGTTGATTAGCTGTGGTGACCATCTTGAGAAGGGACAACTCCAAAAGTTAATCAACTGTAGATGTACATCCAGTGACTACGTTTTGACAGTTTCATTAAAATCGATCCAGTTTTTCATGAAATGATTTGCTAACAGACAGACAAACTTAGGCGAAATCAATGCTGCCATTTGGCTTGAGCAGCAGGTGATAAATATCAGTTCGGATTTCTGAAGGCAAATAAAAACTGTTCAGTTTTATTAAAGCAAAACCAGCAAACCCACTCATTTGCATAAAATCAACCAACTATTCAGTTTGAATGTTTTTTTTTCCCATTGGTTTAAGTGTAAATCAAACTGAAGTTGTAATTACGTCACACTGTTTAATTTTTTTTTTAAGAAAGTGATCTTGTTTTGTTTGGTAAGAAACTTCCTGATGTATTTTTCTTAAGTCACAGTGACATCTAGTGAGCAGAAAACTGAACCACCAGGACCTGCTGTCTGTCTTGCAACCTTCTTGGTTTTCAGAAAATTGCACTTTTTTTCCCAACATCTAAAAAAATAAATAAAAAGAAAATTGCATTTTTATTTATTTTGTTACCTTAATGGTGTGTAGGTTAGATCAGTGTTTCCCAAAGTTGGGGTCGGGACCCAAAGTGGGGTCCCGAAACATCAAGTTGGGGTCCTGAAAAGATTCTCTGAATTAATTATATTTTTGCCTTAGTTGTTACAAAGGAGTGAGGTTGATGTATTTAAAATGGACAAATGTAGTATAAAAATATTGTTACTATGCCCATGTTTAGTTAACCCGATACAAATGTTTATCATCCAAAATAGTTTGGGGCACAGGTCTCTGCTACTGTTATTTTGTGGGTCAAAAGCTGAAAAGTTTGGGAACCACTGCACTTTAGTTCCCAACGTTGGACTTGGGACCCAATTATGGGTCATGAAGCACCTTGGATAATCTCCAGAAATCCATTTAAAGGGTAATAAAATAATTGCTGATGTAATATTTTTCCTATAATTATTACAAAAACACAAAAAAGTATAAATAAGTATTTATATTTGTGTACAAGCTGTTTAGATTGTCAAAAAGGCTGTGTTTTTAGGGTTATTAACAAAGTTTGTGTCCTCAGACCAGTAATATTTGAGGTCACAAGTTTTGGCCATGGATATTTTGTGGGTCAGAAGAAAAAGGTTTGGGAACCACTGGGTTAGATAAAATGTTACAACATGACTTGACAGGTACATTTTAAAAAAAAAATGCTGAAAAGGAAGTGTTTGTTTTATGATCTCTTAGGTAAATCAAACAACTTAAAAATTACGGTGAGCCGGTGGATCGGAGTTTGGGTAACAGTTACCTCCGGTCATTTGCTTCAAAAGCCAAGTGGTGTCTGAAGCAACATGCGAGCAGTTTCCTCTCACTCATTCTGTTTGAGCAACAATGTTCATTTAGACATTCTCATGTGGTCGGAGGTGTTGATCCTCTTTTGGTTACTTCAGAAATGTGCAACACTGCGAAGCACTAAAGAAGAGAAGCAGTGCATGACAGCATCACCTCAGAACCTGGAGCCTTTTCTTTTATCAACGCCTCTGGACTGAGCAGCCTTCCACATCCAATAATGCCATCCAAAAAACTTACAATGACACTTTTTTTGTTCTTTCTAGGTAAGACAGTTCTTTATCTGCATTTGTTTCTGTTAAAATATTCTGCAAAACAACACTGGGCTTTAATGTATGTTGTCAGACAATAAGAAACATTTTTCATAAGCGATGAAAACAAGAATAAAATGGAGATTTAAAGAGAGATTTCAATTTAGTTGTATTTCTTTTGAGGAAAATGTGGCCCTGTGATGGACTTGCGACCTGTCCAGGGTGTAGCCCGCCCCTTAGTAAGCACTGGGTACGGGCACCAATGACCCCTCAAACTTGAAAGAAAGAAGTGGGTAAATATGATGAATGGAAAAAATCTTAAATTTCACAAAGTTTAGAAATGGAAGAACAAAACTCATCAGGTAATAGTGGCCATGTGACGGAATTATGATTAAAATGTAACAGTTTGTTGCATCCTGATGCATGGTAATTTTTTAAATAATATTTCACAGGATAATTGGTTTAAGTATGTAATTGTTCTGTGTTTTGCTCATCGGATTGTCTGCAAAAATAAAAAAAAGAAAAATACAAAAGAAAAACGGAATATACACTCTAAAGATGAAATGTTGGATTTACTGTACTTAACCATGTTATGTTACCTGGTTCCACTTAACTGAGTTGAGTAAATTCAAAGCAACATACTCATGTTCTTTGGTTAAAAAAACTGGTATTTTGCTTTGAATTTACTCAACTCAGTTGAGTGGAACCAGGTAACATAACATGGTTAAGTAAATCCAACATTTCATTCTACTCTAACTGTTTTGAATCTTTATTTACTTTCCACTTAACAAGTTAGGTTTTAAAAATACATTTTGATCATCTTTGAGCTTCCGGCATTTTCTATACATTGATAATGAGCAAAGGGAGAAGTTGCACTTGATGATGCAATATGAATGTGTGAGATCATTCCAATGAGGTAAATCAAGGACAGAACAAAAAGGAACAAAATGATGAAGTATAAGTAAGTAAGTAAGTAAGTAAGTAAGTAAGTAAGTAAGTAAGTAAGTAAGTAAGTAAGTAAGTAAGTAAGTAAGTAAGTAAGTAAGTAAGTAA